AAGTCAGATTTGAAAAGATGTTTTGACATCGAGACACTGAGAAACATCCAGGCAAATGTTCAGAAGAGCCTAAGGAGAGGAGAGACCTGAATCTTAAGGAGGATTAGATGTCTAATCATTTACCACAGACAGATATGTACTGAAAGGCAAAGACTCCCCAAATCTCCCTCTCCTGGTGATCAAGTCCTCAGTTAAATTGAGGTCCAAATAATGGAAGAGAAGGTGTGAAGTTGTCTTTCCCTGCTGGCTGGTCTTGGAGACCAATGAGGTAGAAACGATCTTAGAAATGCTGTGGAAAATAAAAATATGAAGCCTGATATACTTTTAAGTCCCTTTTATGTCTCATCCTCTGACAGTTCCCTGCCACAGGCACTGTCTGTCATTGCTTCCCCACAGAGCAAACCCTCTTCTGGTGGGGCTGGAGCTCAGAAGGGAACTCTGAGCACCACTGAAGTTTCTTGTCCCCCTTCAACCCACGAGCAGCTTTGTGTCCCTGTGTCCTGTGGTTTCCTGGTTATTTCCTGTGAATTTTCCTGCGGTGTTGTTCAGACATTGGTCCTGCTTGTTGAAGTATTTTCTGAGCTGAAAACCTCCTTTTTGAGCTACCTGGGACTGAACTCAGCTGGCTCCTGCCACAGCCAGCAGCTGGGTTTGGAGTCGTGATCCACCTACAGAGGAATTCAGCTCCAGAGGAACAGCAGCTCCTGGTCCCCTGGGGTTCCCCCAGGGTGGGGAGGTGACGTGGGGAAGGTGTTGAGCAGGGGCTGCCAGCTCCTGCTCTCTCTCCCTGCTCTGCTGTGGGCTTCAAGCACGGTCCCTCCATCCCCCTTCCCTCAAATCCATTTCAGCTGATTCTTTAAACACCACCCTTGGTCTGTGGTGGCCTGGGAGAGCTGTGTGCTGCTCTGGGATTGGGATGGTTCCAGGTGGAATTGCTGTGCCAGCCCAGGGCTTTGCCAGCAGTGCCCCCACCCCATCAGGGTCTCTCTTGCTCCACATTTGTGCAGCAGCTGAGGATGATGGGCCCTGGGGGTTTAAACAATGCCATGATCAGGACTTGCATAGGAGGGGCTGTATCTTCAAAAGGCCTCTTTTCCCTTTGTTCACTCTCTTATTCTCAATAAAAAGTATCAGAGCATCTTCCTCATGGATTTTACATAAAGCCATTCTACATCCTCTGGCAGACCTGAGCTTTAACAATCTCCTCTGCCTGCATGGCAGAAGGATTTTCCTCCAGCACAGCTGGTGCAAAATAGGAGTGAGGAGAGCAGAAATCCCTGGCCAGGAACACCTTGGGAAGCTGCTTTTCTTGGCCTGAAGCTCTGGACCTTCCTGTGGGCTGGAAGGAGATGTGCAGTCTGTGTTGTTTGTTTATTTTTATAGGAAATGTGCTCCTGGGAGCTGCTCTGCTTGGCAAAACCCTGGATCCAGAGTCTCAAGATGGGATTGAAAAGGCTCCTTTTTTCCTCAGCCTTGCAAATTCTGAATAAATAACATCCTACCTGCAGCTCCCTGAGCTCACCTGGACAAAAGGTGTGCTAGGGAGCTTTGACCTTCTCTCTGAGCTACTCCAGGTGTAGGGCAGGATCCAGGGAAGTCAGGGCATGGAGGGAATCTTTTCATCTCTTAAAGGAAGAAATCTTTTTCCTTCTGCTGTTTTTGCAAACGTCCCCACTCTGTCCTGCTCACAGGGGGATGTTGGGGTTGTGTCACTAAATTTTAACCACTGTCCCTCATGCTGGAAGCCTGTGCTGCTGCCTCTGGAGCACAGCAAGCTGGAAATCCACTTTGTGATTTCCCCAGAAACCCTTCCAGGGATGGATCCAGAGTGTCCCAGCAGCTCCTGGAGCTGCCCTGCCGGGGCAGACAGACAGAGGCAGGGGTGGCTGCCATGACCCCGGTGTGCCAGGCACCTGGCAGGAGCTGTCCTGCCCTTCTGGGCCATTTTCTCTGCCCTGACTGTGCCTGGCCAGATGGAAGTGCTGCTCCATTAAGCTCAGTCACCTGCCTCAGCCTTGGGATGGAAGTGAAAGTCCAGGGAAACGCTTGGTTGCCTGGCAAAGCTGCTCGGGGAGGAGGAAGGCTCCTTGCTAAGCAGTGCTGAGAGCAGAGTGATTTACTCCCCTCCGTCTTCGGGGCTTGCAAGGAGGAGTCACTCATGACCGAGTCCATTTTTAGAATTTTCCATGGAATGCTCCTTGCCCTCTCGTAATGGGAGATTATGGATGTCTGACCTGTTTCGGTGCTCCAAATTTTTTGCTTTCTCTTAACTCCCTTGCTTTTCTCCTAATCTTAAAAAGCCCAACTAAATCCCGACGCTTCCCCTCTCAAAGCCAAATAATCCTCACAATTGCAATCTCCTTCTGTTCTTTAAGGCTTTCAATGTTTAAGGTCTGCGTGATCTTCCTTAGGGTGTGAAAAAAAAAACAATCCAGGAAAAAAGCCCTGAGCACGCAGATTGAGGAAGGGCAAACCGGTTTAACAGAGCATCCTCACGACATGCTCACATCATTTTCTCCCTGTCACAAACACCCCCACCGCCCTGGCTGCTGATTTCACTGCAGTGCTGTGGTGGGGAGTTTGTTCTGGGAGAGGCTGAGTGCTTTGGTGGCTGTAGGAAGAGACAAGGGGATATGGAGGTCAGGGTTTTCCCTGATTCTCAATAAGATCTGATGCAAAAGACAGTTTTAATTTTTTTTTCTTTTTCAGAGCTATTGTGTCATCCATTCCCCTGATTCTGTAAGCACGGGAGGATGAAGATTTGTGGAAACCAAAGTATTTTTTCTCTAAAACTGATTTTCATCTGAAGAAGTGAGGGATTATTGAAAATGGCATTTCCTCTTCTAGTGGCCACTGAGAAAAAGTCAGGCTTTTCCACTGAAAAAGGATGTAGTAGATGTAGTGGCCAGAAGCACAAAAGTGAAAAATCAAACCACTAAGTAAGTAAATTTAATAAAAATGAAATGCGTAAATAAGTCATCTGGGGGAAACTTGACTTTCAGGTGAAAGATAAATCCATCATAGAATAAAATGCAGTGAGGATAAAAATGCTTTTTAGGGAAAATTTTAAAGAAAGAAGAGTTCCCTGCACCTTCCTTCTCCATCCACAAAATAGGGGAACTTTCCCGTTAGTGTGGATCAGCTCAGCAGTGCTCAGGGGTGAAGGTTTCCTAGGAGGAAATCCTCGTTTGAATCTCTGCCCAGGCTCTGTCTGAGTGGAGCAGGGATGCTGAACCACCCCAGCCTCTGTCTCCGGGCAAAGTTTTTCCCCAAGACTCCAATACTCAGCTTCATCTGCAAATTACCCAAACCTGGGGAAGGGAAAAAGAATTTTTAATTGCATTGCCAGCAAGTGCAGGGGAAGGCAACCTCCGGACCGGAGCTGCTCCTCCTGTCCTGGTGCCCGGGGCTTGCAGAGCCCTGTCCGTGCCGGGGGCCGGCGGTTCCTGCTGTGCCACCCTGGAGGCAGCAGGATGTGATTCACCTCCTTCCCTCGCTGTTTTCCGTGCCTCGGAGCCGCTCCCGGCTCCCCCCGGCTGCCAGTGCCGCCTCCGGGAGCGTCTCCTGGCTGTGCTGCAGTGTGCGAGAGCCCTTCAGACACCGAGCCCCGCCGTAAGGAGCCGGTTCCTTCCGGAGAGTCACCCTTTGCGTCTTGCCAGACCTTATTTGTGTCACTTGTGGCTGCTGCCAGCCCTCTGACTGGCTCCTGAAGCCAGCAGATGTTGTTGCTCCAGGCTTGCCTGGTCGGTGGGTTGGTTGTTCACTGAGCTTGGATGACTAAGGCAAAAAACGCATTAGCGGCAGAGTCCAGACTTTTCTTGCTCTGGAGGAACTGAAAATGCCCCCCTGTAGACAGCCTCGACTTCTCGGGAGGGTCCCTTCTCAAAGTTAATAGTTTCTATCTCAAATTTAGCCTAAAATGCAAAAACATTTCCTCGCCAGCTACTGCAGTGACTGTTGCCGTGCGGCGCTCCAGGAACAAGGAGGAGTTATCTCTCTGACTTGTGCTGGAGGGAAGCAACAGAGGGTGTTGGAATAAACAGGATTAAAGGATTTCATCCATAAATACGGGATTAAAGGTATCCAGCGCTCCGCAGGAGTCATTCAAACCAAGGAGAAACAAAGTAAGTTGTGCAGAAGGGCGCAGCTCTGCTCGCAGCCAGCCCGTGCCGCACATCCCCGCCCGGCCCCAGCCCCGGGAGCGCTGCGGGCACCGCATCCCCCGCCCCGCACCCGCCCGTGCCCCGGCCCCGAGCCCCCGGGGGCTGCCAGCTGAGCTGCCCCTCGCCCCGCTCCCCATTTCACACTGTGACCTCCCCACCCTCGGCGTCCGCGGGGCTCTGAGGGCACGGGCGGGGTGACGGGAGCTGCGCTGCTCAGCTCGGAGCACCCGTGGGTGCAGCAGCTGGGCCGTGCACGTCCGGGCAGCGCACATCTGGGCAGCGCACATCTGGGCAGCGCACATCTGGGCAGCGGCGCGCAGGCGCGGGGGCTGCCTCGCCCGTGCCCCCCACCCATCCGAGCGGCGGCACCCCGGGCTCGGCTGTGCCCGCGGAGCGCCGCGCAGGGGCGGGGGGATCGAGCCCTCCTTCCCCGGGGAGGGGCCGCGGCTCCGCCGTATTTACCGGGGTGGGCGGCGGCGGCCGGGCCGGGCCGGCTCCATCCTCCCTCCTCCCTCCCTCCCCGCCCGCCCCCCGGTGCCGGTGACTGGAGCGGGCGGAGCCGCGGCGGCCGATTGGCTCCGGGCATCACATGCGGCGGGGCCGGGCCGTGCCGGAGCCGTGCCGGGCTGGGCTGGGCACGGCGGAGCGCTCCCGCGGCGGGCACGGCAGCAGCGCAGCCCCTTGCCAGCCCAGCGCCCCGTGGTCGCCGAAGGGACCGCGGCCACCGCGGCCACCCCACGCCGCCCCGGCCATGAGGTCGGGCCGGAGAGACGCCACCTGTGCGGGGAGGTGAGCGGAGCCCCGGCGCCTTCCTCCTACCCCCGGGCAGCCACAGCGGCGGGGAAGCGCAGGGGGTGGAGGAAGGAAAAGGGATATTTTTTGTTTTATTATATATCGATCTATTTTTGCCGCGATCGATCCCGATCCCGCAACTGAAGCCCCCGGAGGGAGAAGTGCTGCGCGCTGTGATGCGTCTTCCTCTCGCCTCGGCTGCCAGTTTGGATTGTAGCGCCCGGCTCCGTGCACTGCGAGGATGGCTCGGTTTGGGGATGATCTGCCAACCCGCTATGGAGGTGGAGGGCCGGCCGGGGCTGGAAGAGGGAGCAGCCGGCAAGGTGGCCCCCAAGCCGGCCAAAGGATGTATAAACAGTCGATGGCTCAGAGAGCCAGGACTATGGCTCTCTACAACCCCATCCCTGTCAAACAGAACTGCTTCACAGTCAACAGATCCCTCTTCATCTTCAGTGAAGATAATGTTATACGGAAATACGCCAAGCGAATAACAGAGTGGCCATATCCTTTCAGGGAGGCTGTGTGGGCACGGGGGGAAGGTGGGGAGGGGGAGAGGGAGGCTGGGGGGCAGAGACCCCTCCAGGCAGCGCAGGGCGAGTGGCTGGTGCTGGTGCAGACGGTGTGGTCGGGCTGTGCCATGGGTGTGTGTGCCGGGGAGCCGTGCGCCCGACATGATGCACGGCCGTGGCTGTGGGAATGTGGGAATATGGGAATGTGGGAGTCAGGGAATCAATCAGGGGATCAGGGGGATCAGGGAATCGTTTCCGTGGGAGCGCCGAGGGTGCTTTTGGTGTGCTTGATGCCGGGGGTGTGTGTAAGCCATGTCAGGGTGTCTTTAGGGCTGAGATGTACAGGTGCGTGGATTGACATTTCCTACAATTCAAGTCAGGTTCTGTGAGATTCGTGCCCACGAATCCTGATTTTTATTTCCATCTTGGAGCCTTTCAACTCTTCTGTCTTCCTGTGAATAGAAGAGGGAATGTGGGATAAAAATGGTGACACCTTAGTATTGAAGCTGCATTGATAGTAGGGGACATTGACAGCCCAGGTAAATCCCAGGAATGCAATCATTGCAGCTCGGTTTTAGCACATCCCCTCCGGAATCCATTCGAATCAACATGAATCATGGCACTTTGATTAGGTGCATAGCCTAAGCTTAGGCTACACGAAAAAAAAATTAAAATTAGCAAAGCCTTGTGGCAGAAGGAGGCAGTAAGTGGGGAGAGGGATCATCTGCTGTATTGTGAAAGGGGCAGATGCTTTCTGTCTGAGACCCAGCTCCCAGGCCAAGTGAGCTGCAGTGAGAAGAGGGCTTTGCTTGCAGTGATGGTTGTAAGCCGTGAGCAGAGGGGAGCAGGCTGAGGCTCCCAGGGAGCAGATTTTGTGTGTGTGTGTGTGTGTGTGTGTGTGTACAGGACTGCTTTACACTGGGGGTCTCAGGGGAGCTGCTTGTTTTCTTTACATTTCATATCACACCCCTATTAATCCCCAGCTAACAGCAGCAGGGCCTCCTCCCAGCCTCCTAGCAACACTTTCAGTTGCCACAGAGGCCAGCTCCTGCTTAGACTTCCCCAGTTTTCACTTCCTGAGGGGCTAACAGGAAAAATACACCAGTGGAGTCAATGCACTTCCCTTCTCTCTGAACACACACAAACACGTATTGATCTTTCTTCCGTATTATACAATCCCAGCGATTGCTGCATTTCCTCATCCATTTCTCCTTCCCTGCATTTAAGTCTGGATAAACAAGCCCCAAACCCCCGGTGACAGGCAGAGCATCGCCTTGACTGCGCGGGCAGACTCAGTCTTTCCCTCTCCTTCCTCTTGGGCCATTCGGCTGTGTTTTTCCGGGGGATGTGGGGAGGGGACCCCCGGCGCTGCGGAGCCGGCGGGACCGGCGGAGCCACCGGCCCTTCCCCGAACCGGAGCGGCGGGGCCGGCGGGCGGGGCCGGGCGCTGTCCGCGGTGCTGAAACCAGGCTGAGCACGGTGCTAAGCCGAGCTGACCGTGGTGCTAAGCCGAGCTGACCGTGGTGCTGAGCCGAGCTGACCACGGCTCTGTATCCAAGCTGACCATAGTGCTTGAGCTGAGCTGACCACAGTGCTGGGATGAGCTGAGCTTATCACGGTGTTGAGCTGAGCTGAGCACGGTTTTGAAGCCAGGCTGACCGTAGTGCTGAGCTGAGCTGAGCACGGCGCTGCAGCCGGGTTTACCGTGGTGCTAAGAACCATGGAGTGGAGCTACGCTGACCATGGTTCTGAAGCCAGGCTGGCCACAGTGCTGAGCTGAGCTGACCACGGTGCTGAGCTGAGCTCATTGTGGTGCTAAGCCGGGCTGATGGTGGTGCTGAGCCAAGCTGGCCATGGTGCTGAGCTGAGCTCCCCGCGATGCTGAGCTGATCTCTCCGCCGTGCCCAAGCGAGCTGTTCGCGGTGCCGAGCTGAGCCCTCCCGGGTGCCGTGTCTGCGGTGCCGCTCGGCGCTGCCCCTGGTGCTGAGCTGAGCTCTCCGCGGTGCTCAGAGGAGCTCCCCGCGGTGTTCAGCTGAGCTCTCCGAGGTGCTGAGCCCATCTTCCCACGGTTCTGGGTTCGTCTCCCTGTGCTGCTGGTTCCATCTCCCCATAGTTCTAGGTCCATCTCCCCACGGTGCTGAGCCCACCTCTCCATGGTGCTGGGTCCATCCCCCTGTGATGCTGGGTTCACCTCCCTGTGATGGTGGGTCCATCCCTCCATGGTTCTGGGTCCATCTCCCCACAGTTCTGGCTCCACCTCTCCACGGTGCTGGGTCCATCTCCCTGCGATGCTGGGTCCATCTCTCCATGGTTCTGGGTCCATCTCCCCACAGTTCTGGCTCCATCTCCCCATGGTGCTGAGCGGAGCCGTTGCTCACCTTCGGCCCCCGATGCCGCTCGTGGCACGGCTCTGCCATGGGAGAGCTGGGGCTCAGCACAGCTCAGGGTGGGAGATGGTGGCAAAGAGCAAAGGGGGACCCGGTGCTGGATTTGGATTCTTTTCCCTTCCCATTTCCCTCCTACATCCCAAAAGGGCACTGAGGGTTTTATTCTCACCGAGAGCGGGCATTGCAATCGAGCAGTAATTCATGTTGTAGACCTAGGTAGATACTCTAAATTGAACTTTTCGTGCCCACCACTTATTTGCACCATGTGCTGAAGTTAAATGTTTCTGAAGAAAAATTCAGCAGATGATGTTTAGCCATATAATCTATCTGGAGGCAGTTTAGCTTATCAATCTCATTAAAAATCAATAGGTATTAATAGCTTTTTATTTCCTTTGGACCTTTCACTTTCTTGCTCCCAAATTCCTTGAGCAGCTCATATTGTGTGTGAGTCTCTAACTCTTAAAAAAGAGAGGAGCAAATTGCCAACTTTTCTTCCAAACACACCCCAAAAGAACCGAGGGAGTCAAGGAGACCAAATGTCTTTAAAAAAATACAAGAAATCTTAGGATGCTCAATTAATGCAACTCTGTGGGTAGAACCAGGATCTGGACGGGGTTCTCCTGGTATTGTCCAGTGTTTTCTTTAACTTCTGGTCCCCACTCCATTTGAATACATGATTTTAGCTACAATCATAGCCAATTGTATTGTGCTGGCTCTGGAACAGCATTTGCCGGATGGAGACAAGACACCGATGTCAGAGAGACTGGTGAGTTGCGTTCATTCATTTTCAGTTTTTTTTGTTCCTGCTCTAATACAGAAAGCAGCCGGCTGCTGGGTGTTGGGAGTGTTGGGATCTATTTTAGAGATCCACACGTAAACAGACAGGCATTGATCTGACAATCAGAAAAAAATCCGTCCCAGCAAGGAGAAGTGTCCCCTCCTGATCCCATCCCTGCAAGAATGCTTCATCACTCCAGCCAGCCCTGCCCAGCCCAGGAGACAGCTGGACCTTGAGTGATGATCAGAAGGGCTTCAAACTTAGGTTGCCTCTAAACCAGGACAGGAAGGAGCTGATGAATGCTTAGAATTATCTTTGAAATCAAATGAACTTCTGTGCAATTTTCATTTTCCCAGGGAGTGGTGGAACAGAGGAACCTTTTAGGATTTGTGTGTCTCTTCCTGTCACAGCACAGATCCTTCAAAGCAAACTTTGGGTTCAGATGATTACACTTCCTTTCAAAAAAAATATGCAACCAGCTTACAGAGAAAAATAATTTACCCGCAGGCTTTATGGTAATGAGCCCAATTACCTTATTTCAAAAGAAAATAGAAGAATAGCTTCAAAATAATTCTCCCATTTATCATCACTGTAGGAAAACTGTGTAATTCTTGGTTTGATTTTTCTCCTACTTTTAATGATCTGGAATGTCTTGCATGCCTAAATGCATTAATCCTGGTGCATGTTCAAAGGATGGATAAATATGGATCCATATGTGTTTTCCATGTCGATGCTATATTATGCAAACAACGATAACATTAGGCATGCTGCCAAAACCGAGAGTCACTGAATAGTGATTGCTGCAGTTCCTAAGGATGGCCCATGCCAGTGGGCAACTCTCAGAATCTCATTCTCCAGAAGCAGGAAAAAGGGTGTTAGTGAGAAATCTGGAGAGTCAGGGTCAGAAATTGCTGCTGTTTGGAAATGGATGCACTCCTGCTGGCTGCTCTCCTGCATGGGGCTTGCTGTATCTCGCTGTTGGAATTATTTTTAATTAATAAGAGAAGAGGATAAAGTGAATCAATGACTGCATGTAGATCTTTCTGCCATTAAACCTGTCTTTGTGTGCTTTGGGGCTGGTTGGCAGGGTCAGCCTGGGGGTGTGAGCAAAGCACAGGTTTAGAGCCAGGACTGAGGGGGAAAGTCCCTTCCGTGGTTATAAACACACGGATTAGTGAGGGGGAGAAGCAGTCTGGGGGATGTTCTGGCTAGGCAATCCTTTGGTTCATGTTGGTTTTATGTTTCTCTGTATCCCTCGATTTATAAGGGCATCCTAGAGGCATTTTATTGTCCTTTTCCCCAGTGTATTAATTCCATTTTACAGCACACACACCTTCAGATCCTGCCTAAATCATTCCAAAGAGGAGCACTGGCATTGCCACGGCACAGTGTGAGAGAGCTGTGGGACTTAAATGCACAATCCCTGCCCTGTTGGCTCTGCCTCGGGTGGAAGGAAGAATTAACCCCTGGTTTTTGTCCCAAGCACTGTGATGTTTGATCCAGATATCCTGAAGCCATTTTAATCACAGCACATTCCTAACTCTGAAGTATAAAGCAATTTTTCATAGAGTAGCACTGAGAATCTTTGCAAGTCATGAAATACTTTTTATTTTCAACATAAACTGGAAAGAATAAGCATTGTAAGAAAAGCTGTCTTCTAGTTTTCAAAGTGAAACCTCTTTAGAATTCTCACGTTACTTCTATAAACTGGAAGTTGTTTCATTGAAAATGTTTCAAATCCATGTTAAACCACAGTAGAGGAATGTTCCCATACATTTCCCATACATTTCCCATACATTTCCCATACATTTGCAGGTTTGTTCAGCCAAATTCTGAGTCCATGCAGAACAGCAGGTGCTTTATTGCTTTCTTTAGCAGGAATGGAATTGGTCTTTTTTAGGGTAATGGTTAATGGATATGGCTTTTTTTTTTTTTCTCCTGGACTCATTAAAATCTCCAAATTGGAGATCATAAGTGAAGAGTTAATCAGATATTAAGGATATGAGGTGCACATCACAAGCCTTTTGTGACTTGGAGATGTCAGCAGAGTTGTTGAATGAAAACAGAAGTTGCCCAGATAATTTGTTCCATAGATACAAAGAAAAAAAAAAAAAAGATTGTCTATTTGTTAAAAATTTTCCTCTATCTATCTCCCCAAGACCCAGGATATGATCCTGCAGTGCAATCTCACCGGGCTGTTTTCTGTGCTCCTGTTATTGTCAAACTGAGCACATATCTCAGTACATGCAATATTCCAGGATTTTGAGTGTCTGACTTAGTAGAATTCTCTCTCTGCCCATTTTCTGTATGCACAGAAAAGCATTACTTGGCTCTGGGCTGGAAATTCTGGTCAAAAGGGGCTCTGAGAATTTAGTGACCACCATCATTTAGTGGTGAACTGGGGGGCTGGCTCAGATCCTCGATCATCAACCAAGAGGAACAAACTCATTCTCCCACCAGCTGCAGCCTGACCTACCCCAGGCTCTGTCCTGCTCCCAGCTGGAATTCTCACATGCTCTGGATGCTGGGAATGTTTCCCTCCCATCAGGAATTGTCCAGTGGAACAGGTTTGTCCCTGTCCATCTCCACCCAGCGCTGTGGGCTGGGGAGTCAGCCTGCTTCTATCCCAATAAAGATTGTGTTGTTTGTACACACTGGAGTGCTGCCAGCTGCAGAGATGCTGAGGGAGCTGCTCTGAGCCCAGAGCCTGGTGGGGAGAGCTCCAAATGTGGGAATGGCAACTTCCCATCCCAGCCCTGAATGGCCTTTCAGGACGTTGCTCACCTCCTTCTCTCCCTGCCTCATTCCTGATTGCTCAGTTTTCCGTGGGAAGCTTCAGGAGACCTCTCCCAGAAGGAGAGTGATGATTTCAGAACTTGCAGAACGGGAAATCTCCCTCCTGTCCCGCTCTGGGGCAGCTCCTGTTGGAAGGCACAGTGGATTTCACTGCAGCCTCGGGGTGTTTGGCTCCCCCGGGTGCTGTGGATGTGAGGACAGAACATAACTTTTCCCAGATTTTCATCGTGACAGCTCTGGCAATTTACTAATGGATTTAATGCTCTCTCCCATCCACAGGCACTTAGAGCAGTAATATGTGAGCTGCTCATATTAACCTTTGCTTGAACAAAGCCTTTCACACCCAAACCTCTCCAGGCTGTTACATCTGAAGGCCAAGGAAAGACACTAGGACGTGAAGTAGGAATGGTAATGACTTTCCAGCCTCAGAAGTTGTTTCTGATCAGAAACATATTGATTAAATGTGTGTTTGGCCCAGTCTCAAGCTCTGCTGTGTCCACAGCAAACAACTTGCTGGCACAGCTCTGGCTGCTGCCCAGATTCTCTGCCCTCCTTCCAAGTACACACACGGATCCTCATTATCACCTGCTCTGCCCCTCTGGAGCCCGGGCAGGGGCACAGCCTTTGGTCTGAAGGGCTTCAGGGTGTCCTGGCAGGGACTCTGAGCTGAGGCAGGGTCATTTCAGTGCTTCACAGGACATGTAGCCACGTCCTTCCCTCCTTCCATCACACACAGCCAGATAAGTCCTTTATTTTTTCAGCTGCAGGACCTCTCCCCAATTGGGCATAATTTTTATTTTTCATCTTATTGTTACTGCCCTAATTCTTGAGCTGAATCAGAGTAAATTTAGGCAAGCTTTAGAAAAGACCCTCTTTCTTTCACCTCTTATTTCCCCAGCTACTCCCTGCCAACCCTACAGATGAGAGTTTTTCTTTGTAATAAATACCCAAATCCATTTGTGAGCCTTCCTGCTTCCCTAGAAGCTGACAAAAACTCCTTTGACCCACTTCCTAAGAGCTCTGTGTAGCCCTAGCTTTGGGAAGAGCACATCCCATCAAACCCTGGAGTACCTGGAGCCTGGCTCTTTAAAGCTGGGAGCTGTAATCACCAGGCACCTGACCTAGATTGAGCAGAGACTGGAGTAGATACCAGGCTTCAAGGAAGTGAGGGAGTAATGTGGGGGAGTGGATGTGGGTAAAGGTAGCTTTTTTTGTGTGTGTTAGAAGAGCTATTTTTAGAGGAACACGAATAGTTGTGGGATGGGAATTTGGGATGGGCTGGGAGGCCTTTGTGTGCAGACATTATCTGGAGCTGTTGAACTAGGAGCTGTTGGGGGGGTTGAACAGGTGGATTGGGCTGGCAGAGTGCTCTTGTGGCCATGAGGGAAGGCAGAGGAGTTGTAAGGAACATCTGGATGATTTCTGACCCCTTCTCCCTTGTTCCCTCTTTCCTGTACTGGGTTGGAGCCCTGTGATGCCTCCAGCTCTCATTGTGGAGCAGCTGCTGGAAGAAGAAGTGTGTTGTAGGATTTCTGTTGAAGGTCATACCAGGTCTGGTGGCCTTTGCTCCTGGTTCTCTGTGGGTGAACAGCGCAGAGATTGGCAGCTGGAGGTCTGGCAGTGGTGGCTCCTGTGTCCTCTGAGCAGCATCAGTGAGGGCCAGAGGGCCTGGAGGTGCTGCTGCTTGTGCAAAGCCCTCCTTGGCTGGAGGGGAAGCCAGTTTTGGGGATGGGTTTTCATTTTCTCCTCTCTATTTCAGCCAGAGACCCAGAGGCAGCTTAACAGGCCCTGCTGTGTTTTGCTCCCTGGCCAGCCAGCACCTGTGAGTGTCTGTGCAGGTGACTTCACATCACCACAGGGCCATGGCAGGTGGAGCTGCTGGGGCTGTGAGCTCAGAAAGGTGGAGGGGAATTGAGGTAACATGGGGTGAAAGATGAAATATGTGGAAGAGCTGTTCCCAGGAGGTGTGTGGGGACATGGGGAACAGAACTCGAATTCAGCTGCTGGTGGAAAAGCCTCTTCAGGGGTTGTATTTTCCAGTCATGTCCAGCCAAGTCTCCTTGTGCTGTTAAGTTACAGATCCCAGGGTGGGTCAGGCTGGAAGGGACCACAGTGGGGTCATCTGGTGTCACCTCCCTGCTCCAGCAGGGCCATCCCAGAGCACAGGGTACAGGACTGGTGGTTCTGGAATATTCCCAGGGAGGGGGACTCCACAGCCTCTCTGGGCTCTGCTCAGGGCTGGGCACTGCCCAGGGCAGAAATTCTGCTCCTGTGCAGGGGCAGCTCCTGGGCTCAGCCCCTGCCCGGGGCTCTGGGGCCATTGCTGGGCCTGGAGCAGAGCCTGGGACTGCTCTGAGCCTCCTGCACACAGGGACACACAGGGACACCCAGGGACAGACAGACAAGGACACACAGGGACACCCAGGGACAGACAGACAGACAGGGACACACAGGGACACCCAGGGACAGACAGACAAGGACACACAGGGACACCCAGGGACAGACAGACAGACAGGGACACACAGGGACACCCAGGGACAGACAGACAAGGACACACAGGGACACCCAGGGACAGACAGACAGACAGGGACACACAGGGACACCCAGGGACAGACAGACAAGGACACACAGGGACACCCAGGGCTGAGGGCCCCTCTCAGCATCACCTCTCAAGGCTGAACAAATCCAACTTTTAGGGATGAAAACCTTAATTTCTGGAGCAAGTGCTGTCCCAAAGTGTGGTCTGTGCCAGAGCTGAGCAGCAGCTGCCGTGCCTGTGCCAAACCTGCTTCTTCCCTGGTTCTGGGGCCACAAACCTCAACATTCCTGTTCATTTTCCATCAGAGAATAAACAATCCCCTTTTATCATTGAGAGAACTGCAAAATATAAACAACTATGCCTCAAACAGCAGCTCAGCTCTTAGGTTCTGGTGGCCAGAAATGCCAAAGCCACTGGAAAAGAGATTTCTAATCTCTCATTGTGGAAGTTTGCTTTCTTTTGGGTAGGGCTGCTTTACTTCCATTGAATTCAACTGAAAACCAGGATCTGAGGCACATTTGGAAATTGGTTACTGGTGCCAAAGCTGATGAACAAGTTCTTGAAATTGATGCCTGCTGCTTTTACCTTTTTCTTTGTTCCTATTTCTTGCCCAAATCTTCCTTCCAAATGTGAATGCTTCAATTTGGCACTGAATTAGTGTTGAAACTGCTGTCAATAAAGTCTAATCCTGAGAGATCTGGTGCAGAGATGGAATAAAAGGTTTAGTAAGAGAGCAGGGAGTGAGCTTGATTTTCTCTGTAGTGAGCAAGGACACGAATCTGTGATCCCAAGGGATGTGTTAGTCTGCACCATGGACCCAAGACACAAATCTTGCTGCTCCTGCTGCTCATGGGAGGGGTTGGGGATTTCTCCCTGAACCAAATCCCCAGTGGAAGGAGAACAAATGAGGCTGCAGCTGTGAAAATTGATAAAATGGAGGAGAAGGAGCGAAGAAAGAACTGATGGAATAAATGATAAATAAATAATTTCCTGTCAGTGCTGTCAGGCTTGCTGCACTGACTCTTGCTCCCCAAGACACCCTTGTTTCAGGTTCCTGGGTGAATTGTGGAGCATCTTCCATGCCAATAACTCCAGAAACCTGTCATCTCTAATTTAAATATACCCTTAGAGCAAAATTTCTGCATCAAAATTCTCTCCAGAACATTCCGTGAAGGAGGAAAATGTGGCGTGAAGCCATCAGAATGACGGCCAATAGAATTGCCAATTCGTAGAGAAAATTCATTTCAGAGAAACAATAATGAAATTCCTCTCTGAGCTTAGTTCCACTAAACTTAAACCTTCTAATTCCAGCTGTGTTCAAAGAGTGGAGAAGGTGTGAAGTTGGTGCCTGTAGCTGTTTGGAGGATGGGTTATCAGAGCAGGAACACGGATATCTCCTCGACTCCTGTAATTTCCTTTCTTTTCCAGGACGACACTGAGCCGTACTTTATTGGAATATTTTGTTTTGAAGCTGGTATCAAAATCATCGCTCTGGGCTTTGTTTTTCACAAAGGCTCTTACCTGAGGAATGGCTGGAACGTGATGGATTTTGTCGTGGTCCTCACAGGGTAAGTGACCTCCTCTCCCCCTGAGCTTCTTGGGGACTCTCACCCTGATTTGTGGTGTTTGTTTACTCGGGGCTGGGCTGGGATTGACTGGAGTGGAATAGCACTAAAAACCTGCATTTCTTGTAGTAAATCCAAAGAATGGCTCTTGTGCTGAATGAGACACTTGCCAAGGGTTTGAACCAACTCAAAAGTGGTTGTGAGGATATTTCTTTGTAGATATTCCAGTGTGAATCTGATCCAGACACTTCCTGACATTTCGGTGACTTTGCAGGTTCTAATTGCCACTGGTACTTGAACCTGATTTAAATCAATTTTCTGATGTTATGGGATGACTTTAGAAGTCAACGTGGAGTGTGCTAACAAATTAAATGTATCCTGGTTTTCAGCTGTTACAACTCAGAAATTTGCCAAGTTTCTGCAGGAATGAATTTATTTCCCCTATAAAATAACTTTTCTCAAAAGAATTCAAAGATGTCTGAAAAGAATTCAAAATGTCCTATTAAGGATGGAGGTGAAAAGGTTACGTGTGCATTTTGTACTCTGGTTTGAGATGATATCACTCATCTCTCTCTTGAAAATGCTGACAATATTTTACATTATGCGTTGCAGCAGTTTCTGTCTATTGATATAAATAGAGGGTGATGCTGGTGGATAATAAAAACATAAACATGAACACTTCTAGTCTACAAATTGGGCTTTAAAGCTTCGGAGGAAGCGATCCAAAGGTCTGTGTGAGGTCCTGAGCTTGCAGCCTTCATCTTGGAAGGATTTCAGTTCATTTCTCCCCAGAAACTGCAGCCTGGCTCCTGCTATTGATATGCTTCCCATACCCATCCTTTCCACAGCTTCCCTGCCTGTGTGTGTGGTGAACGTGGATATTCCCTGCTCCTGCTGCTGGTGTGGAGTAGGGAAATGCTTGCATACATATACAAATGTATTCATTAGCTACATGATCACTGTAATTCCATTTGCATTCAGGGCACCCTGTGATACAGCACTTGAGAGGCCAAAGGGAATTCTTGATGTATTAAGAGGCAAAGAATAAATATGCAGGGCTTGATTCTCCTGCTGCTGGGGCTGGGTATTTAATCAATAGAAACTTCAGTGGAGGCACAAGGAGAATCAGATTTCCATACTTAGAAGCAGGGGGTACCAGGATGAAAAGAGAATTAGCACAGATGCTACAATTATTCTCACTGACGCTCTGTTCTGATTCCTAGTTAGCTCCACACCGTTGTTTGTGTTAAAAAAATATAAAATCAAGGCCCTGATTCTGGAAAGGGCTTTGGCATTGGTTGAATTTATCATACAGCAAAGCATTCCAGTATATGCTGGAATTCAGCTGGCTCCAGTGGTTTTCTACTTCAAGTTCAGGCTCTACAGAAAAGCTTTTCTGAATCCCAGCCATATTGTTTAGGCATGGTTTGAACACCTTTTATTTGTCATTTTTTCTCCATAAACCCAAGACTCCAGAGTTTGTTGGTTTTATTTTACAACCGAGACATTCCAAGTTTTCCACGGGATCCCCCTGGAAGGTGCAGGATTCCCCCGGAATGTGTGGGATCCCCTGGAATGAGCAGGATTCCCTGGAATGAGCGAGATCGCCTCAGAATGTGCAGGATCCCCCTGGAATGTGCGGGATCCCCCTGAAATGAGTGAGATCCTTCCAGAATGTGCAGGATCCCTCTGGAATGTGCGGGATCCCCTGGAATGAGCGAGATCCTACCAGAATGAGTGAGATCACCTGGAATGTGCGGGATCCCCCGGAACGTGTGGAATCCCCCCGGAATGTGTGGAATCCCCCCGGAATGTGTGGCACCTCCGGCTTCTCCGCGGTGTTGGGTTCCTTGTGGGAGCTGTTTGCAGCACTGTTTGATCCTGGAAAATAATTGTGGGATATCAGCTTGATGAGACAGCTGGAACAAGGACCCCCGGTGCCATCTGCAGCCCCGCGGGTGCCTTTGAAGTGCCATCCTGTTAACGTCACCGCCGCTGTTTCCAATGGTGACACCAACTGGGCCCTGCTGAAATTGTCTTGTACAAGGGCTTCCCACCAGGCAGCAGTGCAGGGGTGGCAAAGGCTGAACTCATCGGCATCAAGCCCGAGAGTCATCTCCACTGAGGAAATCCAGACCTCTAATCCTTGTAATTCGAGGGCTGGATTTAACAAGGCACTTGAGCTCGTGCCCGATTTTTGGCGTTACGGGGAAGGGACTGAAAATAACGGAGTTACTCACGCTTGGTTTGATGCTTTCCTCAATATTTGCAGGTGGAGGGAGCGCTGAAAGCTCTGCAGTTTCACACAGGGGGTTGAATTAGTGTTTTCTCTGTGGCCTGGTGTGTTTTGCTCTGCCTTGCCCAGATCATGATTAAGTTCTTAGCTCACTCCTGTGTTGCCATGGGGCTGTGCTGGAAACCTGGAGTTCCTCTTCCTTGGGTTTCCTCCAGTGGACAGAACCCTTTCATGTGCCCACTGCCTGCACGAGCTCAGGTGAGAGGGGAAACCTGTGCAGGGCTGTTTATTTGAGACAAAATCCTCCTCGTTTCTGCATCAAGACTTCAGAGTCAGCTTGATGAGCGAGAAATTTCCTGCTGACAGACAAACCCTCCAGGGAGGGGCTGCAGGGTGGTGACACGAGTGGGAACTTCATTTTCATTTCTGTGGAAGGCAGACTCGGATCTGTGCGTTTCAAAAAATGATCAAGCTGTAATTTATTGGGGAATAATAAAAAAGGACAGTGCTAAGGCAGCACTTAATGTGTTCTTACAAATATAGATAGGTAGGACATCAGTTTTTGAAATATCATTTTGCTACTCTATCAAAAGCTTCCCTTTGCCATATGTGCAAGATTTCTACTTGAAAATGTTACTTCATGTTTCCCAGGCAGTGCTCAGCTCCCGAGCTCAGTTTTACATTGATCTTCAATATTATGGAGGGATTTTGATTCCTCTCCTTTTATTTTCTTATTTCTGTGTAAGCATGAGGGATCATGAAAATGTTCCATGATACCCCACACAGAGTTGTGTACCTGCTAATCCTGCCGAGTGTTACCTGTTTTTATGAAGGCAAATGGTGAATGTCAGAAAACCTGATCTCATTTTCAGCTTTTAGCTAAGCCCCAGAAAAGCAAAGAGCAGCTCTGCTCTCATTCTCTGTTTCCATAGGAAAAAGGCCAGCCAGAGTCTGGGTGTGTTTTGGAGGAGGCTGTGGGGGAAGGCTCTGCATTGATTGAACTTAGCCTTATGTAAATATTCCAGTGATCATGCAGCAATCCTTCCCACCTGTTTTTTCCAACCCTTTTTTCTTTTTTGGCTACTCAATGTCTGCACCCTGGAATTATTGATAACTATATTTTTTTATCTACCTGCAACGAGGGAGATTTTGTTTGTGAAAAGCAGACAGCAGAAGTTGTTAATCAGGAAATACATCAGGGCTGTGTTCCATGCAGCCAGGATCAATATCCTATTGAGCTAAACTCGAGTCTAACAGATAGTGGCCCAAAATGGCTTTGGTTTGCTGTTCCAGAAAACACTCCCTCGGTTTCTTTTCCCAGCAATACTGTGGTGCCTATTTCTCATTTGCTTCCAAGGAAACCTGTGGATCTGCTGTTAATAAAGGCCTGGGAAAAGAATAGTTGTTCCCCTTGAAAGGTTTTGTTTCCTCTGTGATTTTTTTAGTGTTTTCTTGCAATCTCCACCAGTTGTAGACGAGTCTCGATGAAAGCTGCCCCTGCTGGGATGGGCCTGTTGCTGTTGGGGAGAAAAAACACATATTTTATAATTTTATAGCTCCTGCTCATGAGAGATTGCATTGGCTCCAGTGATGACATCACCCATTAGCAGCTCTAAATCACACAAAATTGCAGTTTCTCAATTGGCCTGGGACTGGGTGATCTTATTGCACTTTTGCCGAGGTGGAGGCAAAGGGACTTTTAAACTCTGTTGCTGCCATGTGTTTTGGGGTGAAAATCTCAGAAATTCACAGTTGTTTTGGGAACACATTTTTCCTGTCCCCAAATCCCCCAGCTGGAGCCATGAGCTGTGATTCAGGGTTCAGACCTGCTTCTCTTGGAGCTCATGGGAGGTTTTCTCCCTGGCTTTGGGTTTACATGGAGCTGGTGTCAAGGGCTGTGTGCTGAGGGGAAGAATGGAGAACAAGGCAAGGACAAAGTGATATTGATCTTTGATTCCCAAAATTCAGATGTCTAGGGATTTTGAGGGGAGGAAAAAGGCTTTTGAACTGTGATGTCCAAGGGCTCTGTCCTCAGTTGTGTTTCAGAGCTTGTTTATACATACCATGGATAATGGGCCTTAGGGTTTAATTCCATACCCCAAGAAAGGAGCTGTATGTCCCTTTTTCCTGAGATTCCCCTTCTAGTAAGGTTTGAAGAGGAATTCCTTTTCCTGCATGCCTGTGGTTTTATGAAACACCAGCATTTCCCCAAGCAGAGATTGATGCTGCCCAGCCTCCCTGAGGGCTTTTCTGTGCACCACAGGCCTTTGCTGCTGCCCTGATCCTTTCCCAGTTCTGCCACGTCCTCAAACGTGGTGTTTGTCCAACACCAGGAGTGGCTAAAGGCTGGTATGAAATATTGGAGTGCTTGACAGGATCATGCTCTGTCCTTTATGAGCAGAATTAATTTCTCTTGGCTTCCAATCAGCCTGGATTAAACACTCTCGAAGAGTTCTAGTGGCTTCTTGAGCCAGTTGGATCAGCTGCCTGGATCTCTGGGTGGGACTGGCAGAGACAGCGTGTGCCAGGAGCTGCCAAATGATGTGCACAAAGTCTCAGTGTGGGTACGGATGTCTCAGGCTGTCTGGAACAAATTACAAAAGCCAGAATTATCTTGATTGTTGGAGAAATGTGCTCCCAGCTCCTGATGCTGCTAATAATTTGGAAGGCAACTCATTTGGTAGCAGCAGAAAGCCCTGCTCATCGTCGATGTGAGCGTTGCTGGTTACCAGGATCATCCTGCTATGTGGGCAGTGGGAGCTGCTAT